AGTGGCTGAGAAACAGTGTACCTATGAAAGCAGATTTGCAGTGTAACTGCATAGAGCTATGAAGTGCATGGACATAGACACTGCTGATACTAGAGAACACAGTTTCTACTTTCATCATGTGATCTCCAGGTTTAACACCTTCCATAATGTCCTTCTTTAAAGTCTTTGCAGTCTCATTCTGTTGGATTGATTGCATTTCCAGAGTAACAGTTTACTTGTACGTATTAATTATTGCTGCTATTGCAGTAAATATATAAAAAATAAAGTTATGTCTAGTCGGTAGTTAATAATAGATTATATATGACAAACAGTGAAATTAGGAGACCTGCATCTATACCTGTTTGTACAGTTAGTTCACTGCTAGTTTTTATGTTTGGGTGTAATTTATTTTATTAATTTTTTTTTTTTTTTTACAATAATAGATTTTACTCTAAATCCACCCTTTTGCTTCATGAGCCAATCCCACAAAAAATCACTAAAGATCCAGAACAGTCTGAGAATTTGCAGCAAATAGGGGCATTTCAAATGTACCTTTTTTAAAACTAACATTAATTTATTGTTTTTGCATATATATTTCATAAACCAGTATACGTAAGCTTAAAGGACCACTATAGTGCCAGGAAAACATACTTGATTTCCTGGCACTATAGTGCCCTGAGGGTGCCCCCACCCTCAGGGTCCCCCTCCCGCCCGGTTCTGGAAGGGGAAAGGGGTTTAAACTTACCTTTTTCCAGCGCTGGGCGGAGAGCTCTCCTCCTTCTCTCCTCCTCCGTTCCGCCCCGTCGGCTGAATGCGCACGCGCGGCAAGAGCTGCACGCGCATTCAGCTGGTCGCATAGGAAAGCATTTAGAATGCTTTCCTATGGACGCTGGCGTGCTCTCACTGTGAAAATCAGAGTGAGAAGCACGCAAGCACCTCTAGTGGCTGTCAATGAGACAGCCACTAGAGGATTAGGGGGAAGGCTTAACCCATTAATAAACATAGCAGTTTCTCTGAAACTGCTATGTTTATTAAAAATTGGGTTAACCCTAGCTGGACCAGGCACCCAGACCACTTCATTAAGCTGAAGTGGTCTGGGTGCCTAGAGTGGTCCTTTAAGGTATGCCATAGAGTGCTCTCAGATTTGGAGAATGATTAGTGTCTTGGAGACATGGCGAAGTATATGCATTTGAAAAGAGACTAGATAAAGGTAAAATCACTTGGTGAAGCCACAACTTGGTGTGACTGTACAGCTTGGTGGTCAGTCCCCGTCCCAGTTGTCTGAGCTTTTATTTTTTTAAATGGTGCAGGCACACCATATCTTGAAATATTATAACCAGTGTAGACCACTCATTCGGGGTACCAAGCTCGTATTTTCTTATTCTCTTGATGAATTGGTTTCATCTCTGGTAATAAGCATACATTTCCACCTAACATTGAAGCCTGAGGGAAAATGAGACAGAGGTCAGTAGGCAGTAAAAGAGAAAAAGTAATACCTTAATAGATCTGAGGGAAGATTAGATCCTCAAAGAGACTTACGTTACCAGGTTGTCCACAAGTAGATGTATGCTCCAGGACAGAATAAGATTAAAATAAATCATTAAATCTCTCAATAAAATCATTCTGCAACCAAAGCAACATTTTAAGTGTTTATGTCTTGATGTTTTTTAGTTCAGTCACTTTTTTGTTTTAATGAAAACGCACTGAATTTGTTGTTTTAGTACTAGCAATAATGTTGCATTTATGATTTTCTCTTTTTACAAATGACAGATCTTTATGAAATGGCAACACCTGACCCTCTCACCACTAACAGAACAATAAATGGCACCCTACTGGATGATTACTCAGAAGATAGTTTACTGTATTTCCTTAGAGTACTGTCCTTCATATGGCTCACCATAACTTGCATCTTAGGGATTGTCGGGAATGGACTGGTTATCTGGATCACTGGATTCAAGATGAAGAAGATGGTTAACATTATATGGTTTCTTAACCTGGGAATAAATGACTTCATTTTTGATATCTCCTTAGTGCTCTTGTTAACAGTGAGGGCTATGGAAGGACACTGGCCCTTTGGTCAAGTGATGTGTAAACTTATAAATACCATCAGACAAATAAACCTGACTGTTAGCACTTCTTTCTTGATGATTATCAGTGTTGACCGTTGTATCTCTATTCTACACCCAGTGTGGACCAAAAATTATTGGACACCCAGACTGGCATCAATGATTGCCATGGCGACTTGGCTGTTATGTTTAATACTCAGTTCCCCATATTTTGTTTTTCTCGACGTAATATCTTTTAATAATGGCACTCTGTATTGTGCTGTTATCTATTTTCAGAAAAATACTTACAATGCTATGGTTCTAACTAAGCTTGTATCAATGTTTGTAATTCCATTCTCTATCATTCTAGTTTGCTATGGCCTCATTATGATCCGACTAAGAAGAAGGAAACGACGTCTTGGGTCTAACAGGCCTTTCAGAGTCATTGTTTCTATTGTATTATGCTTCTTCTGCTGTTGGTTTCCTTTCCACTTTTGGCCTTTGTTCCAATTTCTGGATATTGAAATAAGTTGGTCTGTAGATATTATTATGTCTTATTTAGTATATTGCCTGGCTTATTTCAATAGCTGTCTTAATCCCATTCTGTATGTCTTTGTTGGTCGTGACTTCAAACAAAGTTTGAGAAAGTCGATTCCTTTTCTTATGAAAAGCACATTCAGAGAGGGGTGCGACATAAATTATTTTCAGCAACGTGATCAAATGACAAGAAGAATTGAACTGGCAACTTACAGCGCATAATTTGGTCTACAAATGATATTTTCTATATTGTAAATATAAATAAATGTGGCATCGGAAGTAATACAAAAAAACCCCACTGAAAATCAAATGCATACTGGAGCACTCTCTGTAATATGTCATTGAGATGACTCTCCAGAGCCTCCTATTGATAGTGAATGAGCTTGCATCCGTTATGCAAAACACCATCTTTTGGTTGTAAATAATCTGCAACAGTTATGTGAAGCACCACCTATTGGTTGTGAACGAGCTTGCAAGGGTTACATGTATTAATTGAATAGCAAAGCTTATTAATTTGCATATCGTTGCTTGTGCTGGTAAAATATATATCCCCTGCTAGTGTTTGTCTTCCCAAACCTTTTTATACATATTTTATTTTGTTATTATTATTATTATTATGTTTTTTTCTTATATGTTATCTGAACAATGCCACCATACAATGTCACCATATGTTTAATTGAGAGTTTCCAAAGGACAACCCTTGTTCAAAATAAAGTACTGTGTGATATTTCCATTGTGCCCTGTCTGGTTTGTTTGGGGATTTCAGTAGCAGAGCTTTCAGACCTACTTTTTGACTACACTATTACTTGGGACATTTTAAGAAAGAACTGGCCTCAACACTAAACACATCTTTACAAAGATGGTGGAAAAAGCTAGGTCTGAGAGCTGCAACTTCCTTTTGTCAATACAGTAGTTGGAGGCAGCGCAGGCAGAGGGGTTGATTCTTGCCTGGAACAAAATGGACAGGCAGAGAGGTCTGTACCTGCATGGAAGGAGGAGACATTGGCAAATGAGCCTGCACACTGAAACCAGCTGGAGGAGATACAACTTGACCAGGGTCAAGTTGTAACTCCTCCAGCTAGTGATGATCCCCTTCTGAAGTAACAGACCAATACCTCTGGTGGTACATCCTGGGAATTGGTAGGCACAGGTCAAGACATGTGTAAAGCTGAAAAAAGGGTCATAAGTGCACTTGATAAAAGGAATTGTTACTTCATACATAAATTACTTTGACTTTTGGATAACATAAATATTCCTGTACAGAGATAAAAATAAAACACAACATAGTGTAATCTGTATATATATATATATATATATATATATATATATATATATATATATATATATTCTATAAGAAGGTGTTAGAATTCAGAACACTCACAATTTTCTGAGCCCATTAAAGTTGTCTCTCACCTTATAGAGAATGTATGTCTCCTTATGGACACAAGGTAGCTTCCTCCAATGATAGGGTCCCACAAAGTACAAGATTGCTGAAATCAGGAACTCCAAGAAGATGTAAATAGCTGAAAACGATTTATTGCTTGTATGTATAAAAACATAAACATAAAATATGCACAATATAATTAATATAAGGAAAAACAAAAGATATTTATTTTAGTGGGAATAAAAATGATTTTAAATCACAACAATTTTTTGTTTGAAGATGATTTCTTTTTGCAAATAAAAGGCACTGTTTGCTCCAAGTTATGCCAATCTTTTATGACATTTTGGGAAAAACATTTCATATCCACGAGGGACATGATTTTGGCACAAACTTGGTCCCGTGTAAAAGGTATATTAATGACATCTTCATTATTTGGAAGGGATCCAGTGAATCTTTTAACACTTTTAAAAATGATCTTAATAATAACCAAAAGTGTCAGTGATTCGAGCATTGATTTTTTTAGATTTAAATATTGATATTTTCAAACAGGTTGATGTCAACAGTTATATTGAACTGGACAGTTGTCATCACCGTCCTCGGTTATCAAATATACACCACCGAATATACACCAAAGGGACAGTTCCTGAGGATTCGCAGGAACTGCACCAAACAGACAGATTTTATTACCCAGTCTGCTGTTTTAAAAAAACTATTTGAACAAAAAGAATATGATAGCCAAGACCTACAAAACAATATAGACATGGTTGCCCATTTATATAGGTAAATATATATTGCTCCAATATAAAAAGAAAGAAATAACAACAAAAACTTCTCTAACAACTTGGGCAATGTTAAAAAAGTGATCAATAAAAATTGGCACATCCTTTAACAAGAGGATGACATACAAGAATATATTGGCCAAAAATCTAAATTAATTTTTAGAGGTACAAAGAACTTGAAGGAAATTCTAACAAAAAGTTTTGTAAAAGATGATGTTTGGTGATGTCCCGAACGGTTCTCATCATTGAGTAAACTTTAACCCTGTACCTCACAGTCAGCAGACACATTCCAGCCAATCAGCAGCAGACTCTCCCTCCCACCTCCTCGACAGCATCCATTTTGAAGCTGCATTCTTAGTGAGCTGTCCAGGAGGTGGGAGGGTCTGGGAGGGAGGGTCTGCTGCTGATTGGCTGGAATGTGTCTGCTGACTGAGGTACAGGGTCAAAGTTTACTCAATGATGAGTCCGCGGCGAACCGTTCGGGACATCACTAATGATGTTCCTAGAAATTTTTTAACAGATTGGTCGCATGAGCATATAGGTTTTTTCTACGGTGGGATGTGTAATGCATGTCGAAGCACGAAATTACCCAATAATTTCTTTTTTTTATTCTGCTATAACTAAAAAATAATATAAAATGAAATCCCTTATTACATGTCACTCTCATAACGTTATCTATTTATTGTGTTGCACGTGTGGACTACAGTATATAGGCAAGACATCCAGACCAATAAAAGTAAGGATGAGTGAACATGTTAGAAACATCAAAAAAGTCTTTTTGAATCATAGTGTATCAAGACAATTTTTAGATAAACATAGGTCAGATCCTAAACATCTAGAATTCTGTGCAATAGATAAAGTCAATATGTATTGGAGAGGAGGGGATATTGCTAAGTAGTTAAGTATTTAGGAAGCTAAATGGATCCTTGAGTTACACACTTTAGCTCCAAAGGGACTGAATATTGATTTTGAAATCAACACTATTTTATGAAATATTTCCTTTCCCCTACTCTCCTTCCTCATTTAAGTCTATTATGCACTTCTTTTTATTTCTTTCCTGGGATTAATGTTTTAAAACATGTTCTTTTAAAACAATTCATCTTTTTTGGATATGGGTTCCTTTTTAGTATCTACTATTTGTTGTGCTCATTAGCTCCTTTTAACCCATTAATGCCGTTATGGAGTTCTATGCCGTCCCCATTATAATGGGCTTTAAAGCCATTGCGGTGGCATAGAATGCCATAACGGCTTAAGCCCCCAGGAGCAACGGTGGACTTACCTCCGGCGCGATCCTCTTTGGGAGGACTGCCTGACAGCCCAAGTAGCCCTCCCATGGCAAACCAGGCCCCCGGGGGCCATGTGATCGCTCTTGAAAGATCACATGGCCCCCTACAGCTGGCTGTGGATCTGCCAGCAGGGAGACTGTCTGGGCTGTCAGACAGTCCCCCTGCTGGTGGGTAGTATTCCCCCTGCTGGTGGGTAGTATTAAAAAAATATATATTATTAAACTTGTTAAAATAAATGTGTATATATATATATACACACACACACATATACATACATACATACATACACACACACATACACACCTTATATATATATATATGTAACGTCATACGTAGTGTATTGTAATATCAATATAAGTACATATTTTAGTATTAAAACATACTTAGAATGAAGTTACGTATATATATATAAGATATACATATATTATATTTCTTGGCCATATTCATGGCAGCACAACATTGGGTAGCTCCTCCCAGTGGTGTATTTTGGATTTGTGCTGCAACTAAATTTGGGCACCCCACAAATCTAGATTTGCCACCCCCCCATTTTGTGTCAAGGCCAGTTTTTTGACCGACCGACACAGCCAGCCCTCATTAATACATGTACTGGCATACACTCAACTAATTCAAAATAAGTGTATAAATACCCCCTCCCACCATCTCCTCCCTCAGTCTTTTTGTTCCTGTCCTATCCCTATAGGACTTTTAGTCATTTATAGACTGCAACCATTTTATTTTTGGCTTACCTGGGGGTTTTAATTTCGGCCCCAAGGGAGTTCAGCCTCTCTTCCTTGGGAAGTCTCCAGTACGTGGCCCTGTGCACAGGTGTCCCCCTGGAGATGCTCCTTTAGTGAGCAGGAGCCGCTTGCAGTGACCCTAGGGGTATCAAGGAAAAATTGCCAATAAAAAGGATTCCCTGCAGTGACCAAGCAGTAACAGGAAGTGGCACAAGAATTTCATCTTCAGATGGATAACTTCTTAATATTTATCTGGCAATCCACAACATATATTTAAAATAAATATGTCAATGGGTATATATATTGCAATACAAGCCTACAAAGCATCAAAAATGAAGATCCCAGAAGGTCTTAAGGCTCACTGTATAAGGTCCCTTTCTTCATCTTGGGCAGCGGCAGCTAAAGTACCACAAGAACTTATTTGCAAAGCAGCCACTTGGTCCTCTACAAATACTTTTATAAGGCATTACAAAATTGATGGGAAAGCCGGCCAGCTGGACCAATTTGGTAAAACTGTTCTTTCTGCATCCAACTCATAGTTTGATTTTTTTTTCTAATACACTAGCATTCCTGAAATATTGAGTCTGAGTTTTTATTCCCTCCCTTGGTTATAGCTGGGGTATTACCCATTGTTGTGCTGCCATGGATATGGCCAGGAAAGAGGAAAATGTATTCAAACTTACCGTAATTTTCTTTTCCTGGTCATAGGCCATGGCAGCACAAAGAACCCGCCCTGGGATATTGCTGGTAACAAGACTGAGGGAGGAGATGGTAAGAGGGGGTATTTATACCCTTATTTTGTAATAGTTCCTGTCTAATTGGGGATAGGGAGGAGCTACCCAATGTTGTGCTGCTATGGCCTATGACCAGGAAAAGAAAATTATAGTAAGTATGAAATTTTTTTCCTGTATATAATATATATATATATATATATATATATATATATTTATTAATTATATTTTTATATACGTATAATTACAATAATAAATTAATAAAATAATAAAGTAAATTATATATACATATATAATTTCATTCTAACTGTATTTTGTTATAAATATATATATATATATATATGTAAGAAAATACACTAAGAATGACATTCTATATATATCTATCTATATATAAAATACAAATAACCACAAATATATATCTATATATATATATATATATATACATATATATATATATATATATATATAGATAAATATATATAAGCATACATGTAGAATTTAAATACATATATATATATATATATATATATATTTATTAAATTCTACGTGTATATTTAAGTAATATTTTGGCCAAATATTAGTTTTTTTGCTTTTTTCACACAAAAACAAATATGAACGCTAACTTTGGCCAGTGTTTGTGACTAAGTGGCTGGACATACCCCACTTGCAATACTTTGGGTTGTCTACTTTTGCAAATGGTATGCCATCATGGAGGTAAATCTCATTCCTGGACTACCACACGGTCTCAAAGGTAACATTACTAATCTGACAAATTTCAATGTAAAAAAAACAAAAAATGGAATGTGCTATATTTGACCCTTTAACTTTCCAAAACACCATAAAACCTGTTAAAGGGGGGTACTGTTGTACTTGTGAGACTTTGCTGAATACAAATATGTGCATTTATTTTGCAGTAAAAGCGAACAGTATTATGACATTTACAGCTAAAATGTAAGGCGGAACTACACATTTGTGCACTTATTATAAAAGAGGTGAATTACGGTTGAACAGACATATAGCGCAAATTCCAGTTTTGGTTTACATTTTGTTTTGATCAGAACGTGTACTATTGACTCCGTCCTGAAGGGGCTAATGTTTTTAATCTTTATCTTTGTGCCCTTTCTTTTATAGGCTAGTTTGGAGTTCATACCTCTCTAAATATGTCACCTGCGGCTTCTGGCTTAAAAGACTCTAGGACCTCTTTTGTATCTACTTTTGTCTGGACAATATGACTATCCGTCGGAGACAAAGTACTGGGTACAAAGACGTCACAGAAGTGACGTATCGGACTTCGGAATATAGACCCTATGAAGTGACATAACAGAACTTAAACATCGATTGCTACAATCGGATAAGAGACTTGGAAAACATGCATTTGACCCATTTTTGAAGAGGGGAGAAAACTATTTGCATGATTTTCTCTTTCCTGTTTTTTTCATTTGATATCTACACAAGAGGTTACCAATATAGAGGGGATACGTATCCAAACCGAAAAGACGCCATTTTGGGGGTGGAAAAATACATATCCGGTCCAGACCATATTTGGAAATGGTAGGAATTTGTGTAACATACGTGATTAGTCGTTAATTAGTGTATACATATGAAAGTATGATTACAGCTGTGCAATATTCAACAGCACCTGAGTAGAGTTGAGCAAACCCGGACTGGAAAGTTTGGGTTCGTACCGAACATTACGTTTTTTGGACCCCGGACCCGAACACGGACATATCGGTGTATGTTCGGGTTGGAGTTCGGTGTTCAGCGATTTAATGACGCGTTTTGAAAGGCTGAAGGGCAGCCAATCAACAAGCGTTTGACTCGTGTGCCCTTAGAAGCCATCATAGCCATGCCTACTAATGGCATGGCTGTGATTGGCCAGTGCAGAATGTGACCCAGACTCTACATAAGCTGGTTACTTAGTATTATTACATTATGCCCCTACTCGCTATACCGCGACTAGGGGCATGTCTATTAAAAAGTGAGCAACTGTTAAAAAAACAAACCTAATGTCCTCCCCCCTGGCCCCCACCCATGAGCGGTGGGTGGGGGCCATAAATAAAAATTGGAGGGACCTAATGTCCTCCCCCTGGCCCCCACCCCTACCTGTCACAGCACTCTGATTGGTTGGCTTGAAATACACCAATCAGAGTGCTCTGTGTCATTTTGCACAACGTGGGAAAGTTCTTTGGAATTTTCCCATGCTGTGTAAAATGACACAGCGCACTCTGATTGGTTAGCTTGAAATCCACCAATCAGAGTGCTCTGTATCATTTTACACAGCGTGGGAAAGTTCTTTGAAATTTTCCCACGCTGTGTAATTTGACTCATAACTCTCTGATTGGCTACTTTCAATCCACCAATCAGAGTGTTGTTATGAGTCAAATTACACAGCGTGGGAAAATTCCAAAAAACTTCCCCACGCTGTGTAAAAGGACACAGAGCACTCTGATTGGTGGATTTCAAGCTAACCAATCAGAGTGTTCTGTATCATTTTACACAGCGTCTCTTCATTTACCTGTCAGAGCACTCTGATTGGATGGCTTAAACCCACCAATCAGAGTGCTCTGGCCTAATTGCAGGGCGGGGCAAGGCTTTATAAGCCTTCCCCTGCCCTGCAGAGCTCAGTCTGTGTGGAGCCCTCCATGGGTGAAAATTGATTATTATTTTTTTTTTT